CCCGGGGGGTGGGGCGCACGAAAAGGTATGAGTGAGAGGTGGGAGGAGGGAGGGGGGAGAGGGGCGGGCTGGCGCGTGACGCAAGGGGACGGTGCCATTGACGCAACAGGCTTGGGATGCTCCGAAAATAGCAGCAATAGCAGCGCCCAGCTTGCCCCGGTGGTGCCTGCTCCATTGCGCCGAGAGAGCGGGAAGCAACAGCCTGAGAGTGGGCCGGGCTATTTTAAGGCTCTCCGAATCGGAAACTCGAAAGCAGCCAAGGGGGGTTATTTTTAAACCTTTTCCTGGGCGCTGGGTTTTGAGACTGAAAACTTTCTTCTCGCTAGCTCTCTGAACTTGTTCGCCCCGAGGAGAACAGGGTTTGGGTACGAGTGGGCAACGCTAACCCGCAGCCCCGTTGTCAGTGCCGCCAAGCCTGTATAAGAAAAGTATTTGGTCCTGCTTAGAGTCACTTATAATAGGAACATTTAATAAGCGTGTGTGGGGGACTGCTCCGAAAAGTGGCGTTCGCAGTAACTTTTTCTCGCGCTTGAACCGCCACTTTTTGCAAAGGAAGCCAGGCTGGCATGCTTCTCTGCAGTGGCGGAGAGGAAAGGCAGGGGAGGCCGCTGCCTTGGGGGCCGCGGGCAAAGCGCCCCGCCCCCCCGCTCCCCCTTGCCGCCGGCGCCTTCAAGCCCCCGGATCGTGGCGGAATAAGGCTGCCACACCTGGGCTGCAAAACTACGGGCGACCGCTAGATGTCAGCCAATCGGCTTTTCTGTCTCTCTCCGCTGAATCGTCCGGATTTTAGCAGCCCACACACGGTAACCCAAGCACAGGGCTACACAGGGAAGCAGGCGACGAAGCAGCCGCGGACTCTGCCACCACCTCCACCTGCTCCGCTCCCGATTCGGCTGGCAGAGGAGCCCCGCGAGCCTCAGGCGGTTTCCCCCGCAGCTGCTGCTGGCTGGCCGCTCTCCTCTGCCTACCAGATAGGGGCTGCAAATACAGTGCTGGGGCGATCACTAGGCGGCAGCAAACAGATTTTCAGTATTTCTCTGATGCCATCTTGTGGTCATCCGGTTTTCGGTAGCCTAGATGAGAGGTTTGCTTGCCTTGGGGCCCAAATAATTTCCATATGTCCATAATTCCCTGATGCGTCTCCTATTCTGATATTGTCCCAGATAATGGGATTTGTCTTCTTTTTATTATTGGGAGTATTAATGTTTTTGCTTGAAAAATGCAGTGTTAGTTTGGATAGCATGGAATATGAAAAAATGAAAATGAAACATCCCGACGTTATAGTCTAAAGCTCTTCTGAAATTGCCCAATTAGAAGCATTTAGTACTGCATTTCTCCAATCCTGTCAGTAGGGGGCTGGACTTTCCAGTCAATATAAACAAGTGCATTTGCAATGGACTAATCAAGCCAGTGATGTTTCCAACATTGGTAAAACTTGGGTGTGTTTTCTAAGATAAATGTGTAATCACTTCCAATAATTTGGTGAATGCAGCTGCGTATGTAATGTCCCATATCTTCCATATTCAAGGCTGGTCTCTTGAGTCAGTAGACAGCATTTCCTTTGTCACTAAGTACAGTTTCATTTGAACGTGCAAAATAAAAGTACTGTATTGTATAACTTGTCCAAAAAGAGTTGTATTCTTTAAGAGGGCCAGCTGTTTTTATCTGTT